CCACCACTACCCCCGACGACAAGGGGATGAAGAAGAGCGACGCTATCGAAGCGAGACGTGTATATATGTATATATATAGAGGTGCGCGCACGTCGGCAAGTTCAGTCGTCTACCGCGTGCCGAGCGGCGAGGATCGTGCGCTGCCAACACTCCATTCCGAATTCCCCCCTTTCGGCTAGCTCTTCGTTCCGTTTGTCGATCGCGCGCACACCGGGGGGTCTCTCGCAGCCGGTCACGTGTCCCTCTCTCAGCCCATCTTTCTCGTGCTACAACGCGGCACGCTCGAACGGAAGCGCAGCGAACCGTACCGCGCGCAGATTCGTCATGTAATTCGAAGCTGCGAACAATTAACGCCGCTTCAGTCTTCTCTTTTTTCTTTTGCCCGTGTCTTTTTTTCGACGATCAAAGAACAACTTCTCTCTGAATTCATAATTTTCTATTCTTCTGACATTTTGTTAATTTCTTTCTCTCTTTATGGTTTATCCGATATTTTGATATTTGATTTGTAATTCTTAGAAAGAAATTGAAGATGTGAAGAGAGAGAGTTTGGTAATAAGATAGACAATGGGTGATAGAAGTTTTAATGAAGATTCATGAAGTTGAATGGATTTTTGATCGTGTAATTGAAGGGTGATTGGAGCGTAAGGTGGTCGTATGCTGTTTTTGTTCATCGGTGGTCGAGGGGAAACGGTTCAGTGAGATGTGAGCCGAGAATGGAGCTAAAGATCAGCATATTGCTTCTGGCGCTTTTACGCCTCGCCAGCACTCTCGAGAGTAAGGATGAGTTATTTTAACCACGCGGCTTATGGTTTGTAATAGACAGCATCGAACTTCGCAGCGGGAACATTTTTTCATCGTAGACTTATGAGTCCATGGTAAATAGAGAATTCGAGCTCGAGAGTTCGGAGTTTCGTGCTTGGAATCCCCGAATCAAACAACGCTCCTTGTCCATAGGTACGAGAGTTTGGTCTGGCTGTTCGATTGTTATGAAGTTGTTAGTGTTTGCTTGGTCGCGAACTTTTGTCGCGTTTGCATTTGTGTTTCGCCAGAACTTTGCTTATCGCGACACGTCTTGATGTGGTTGGAAAAACAGTCGAATAATACGACTTTTCTAACTATCGATAGTTCAGATAGAGAGTTACTGATGTTTCTTCAAAAATGTTTTACTATAATTTTCATTACTGAATGCAAAAAAGAAAGAAAATAATGAAAATTCACAGTTCAGGAAATTATAAAAATTCCAGCGAATTTCCATGCGCTGTTTTAACAGCGAGCGGGCGCGAAGATTAACACGTAACCAAAAACTGAGCAGAATGTAAATGAACTGGTGCGTTGATTCTCGCGTCCGCGACACCGGAGGCAATTAATCATATCCCGGAAAGAGGATCGCGAAAATATGAAGCGAGCGAATTAAATTCGCGAATACGAATCACACGTTTCCCATAAAAATCTCGACAGAATACCTATAAAAAAAATATTCTCCGTGATTTTTATCGTGAAAGAAACATAAAATTTGTCAAAAATCACTCAGAATATCAAGTCAGCTTCTAGATATATGAAATTTTAAAAAATACCAGAATATTCAGAATTTGTAGAAATTTTATATATTTGTATCGGTGCATTTTTGGAGATAATTTTCTTTTTATCAAATATATATAAATTCTTGTTACTCTTGGTAATCTTACGTATTAATAATAATTTCCTCTATTTTTACGCTTTGAATTTTTGTCAAAAGAATTCCCAAAGATAACAGTATTTTATGCTGACTTCTCTCCAAATCCTTCTATTTCATAGAACATACAGTGTACTGAAACTTTTGGTTTAGCAGTGTATGTGGTGAAATACTAAAAGTAAAGAAACAATTTCGTCCATTTTACATTTCGCCGCCGCAGTGTTAACAACTCGCGCGAGAACTTTACACAGAGTCGCGTTCGAAGTGTCCTCGGACACGTCCAAACATCCCCCGGGCGACAGAGATAAATTCGCGGGTTGAATTTACTCGTGCAACGTTGATATTCTACAAAGCCCTGGCTCGAAATCGTGACATGTTTTCCCGCGAGTGTGACAGCGGGGATAATCGTCTCTCGGTTTACTGCTTCGAGTCAAACAAGAGTCGCGATCGCCTAGTCGTGCCGGGTAATAAAGTTCTGGCTGTGACTTAGAGTGTGTGCAAGCCGGACCGAACGAATCACGAGGATAAAAGAGAAAGATAGAGAAACATGGTATGGAGACCAAATGTAAAGACTAAGAGATCTTAAGCGAGCGGATCCCGCTGACTGATACACGACGTAAAATCCCGTACGCATCGTTAAACCAAGCTTTACCGTTTCCATCGCGCGACGTCTAAATTTACCGTGGGCAGAATCGCGCTTTGGTCGAGGTGGGACAAACATTCGATCGCTCGAGAACAGACATCGTTTGGCTTGTTATCCGCAGCCACGATGATCGGGCAGGAACGGATCTCTCGGCGAGCATGGCTCATTTCACTCGCTGAATTAACGCTTTGCACTCCATGCACGTGTTACTCGGTTGCGACGTCCGATCTTTATCGGCTGTACGTGGAGTTATGCGTTAACTCATTACAGACCAGATAATGAAATATTTCGTCAGAGTTGCATAAATGCAACAGAATTGAAGGACGTGGTACTTTGAAATTGGAAGAGAAACTGTAAATGAAATTCATGCGATTGTAATGGTATAAGCTTTTTTTATTAGAGAATTATAGATTTCTATTGAAAAATTCGGGGGTTACATATTTAATACTCTATAATTGGATTTTTTCATTAAAATTATAATTTTAATTTTGTTTGAATTGAATTGAATTGAATTATAATTTTGTTTGAATGTATAGGAACATGTAGTAACTGCTCTAGATAGATTTGTTAAGTCAGATAGAGGATGTTATGGAGGTTATAAGTGCTGTAAAAAGTAGAGAAGTGTGTGATTTTGCATTAAAGATTCTACGATTTCTTCTCGATTAGAATAATTAGATTACGAAAGGGAACACTAGTTGATTCATGAAACTATATGAAATTAGAAGCGTCCCTGTCTTTACACTGCCGCTTACTTCATTCTCTTTCAACTTTCACTTTTCCTCACGTCTGTGGCGGCCAAAGTTAAGCGCCTTAATCATTTATTCATGGTTCAAGGGAAGTTCCCTCGGCTTCCTATAATTGGATTAATCATTTAAATTCCACTTTTGTCATGCTATTCCACTGATATCGCAGAGCATCTAAAATTGTTAATGATGGAGATTTGTTGAAACAAAAGATTCATGATATACATTTTACGTAAATTTCAGGTGAACTTCACCCTTTGCTTCTAGACACGAAGGAGGAGGAAGACGCGGAGGAAGATGACGAAGAAAATTATTCCGTAGATGACTACGATTATGGTGACTACGAAAGTGCAACTATAAACAGCGATATCGATCTTATCGCTGGTGGCTCGTTGCCGATCTTCCTAGCGGAACCCGTTGACACGTTCGTAGTCAAAGGGAAACCGGCTACCCTTCATTGCCGCGCAGCACACGCTCTTCAGGTACGCAAAATAAACCTGTTTTCTGTCGCAGTCATACAGAGAAAGCACATATCGTTATTAATCGAAAATCTTCAGATGGCATCGTATTTCACTGTTAGCACAGTGAAGAAAAATTTCTTCTTTATGGAACCTACATCTCCCCTTAGTAATACAGTATAGTGATAAGGATTAAACTCCTCTCGCGTAACACTAGAATACCTTGTAAAAACGTGATAAACTTTAAAAAATTCAGCACATACCGCAGCCTACCTCCACCTTCCACATTTGTTCCAATTCCTTCATGAAGACTGAAAATTACAGTAGTTCATCGTACAACGCCTTTGCGATAAACGAGCCCCTTAATCTCTCCAAGTTACAGCTTCTCCATTACACAATGAAATTCGTAAAATAGAGCGTCGAAGAGGCGTAGTAAAGAGGCAAATAGTCGTCGCTTTTGCATCCAAGAGAAGGTTTTTGGCTCGGTGGGTTCCGTGTTTCGCACGTTGTTCGCGAAACAGGCCAGGTCCAAGCGCCGTCGCCCCGTCATTTTCCTCTTCACCCTTATTAACCACTCGAAAAACCTCTACCCACCACGTGGACGACCGTTGGTCTCTGACCCTTTTCACGCGCCGTCAATTACTACCTTATTCTAGTCGTCTTATTCGAACCGTGCTGCATTGCAGGTGTATTTTCGCTGTAACGGTGACCGGGCTGAACGTTCGCAGCACCAGGATTTTGTCGACCCC